TTTTATTTTTTTTTTAAATTTTTGGAGGCCTCCAGAAATTTAAAAAATTTAAAAAATATAAATATTTAAATTATTTGAATTTTTTAAATTATTTGATTTTTTTAAATTTTTCAAATATCCTGGAACTGGCCCAGGGAGAATCCAGGAAACTATTTATATTTTTTTTATTTTTTTTTAAATTTTTGAAGGCCTCCAGAAATTCCAAAAATTTAAAAAAATATAAATATTTAAATTATTTGAATTGTTTATTATTTTTTTTCTTTTTTTTTTTTTTAAATATCCTGGAACTAGCCCAGGGAGAACCCAGGAAACTATTTATATTTTTTTAATTTTTTTAAATTTTTGCAGGCCTCCAGAAATTAAAAAAAAAAAGAATATAAATGATTAAATTATTTGTTTTTTTCTTTAAATTAGTCGGTTTTTATTTTTTAAATTTTTGGAGGCCTTCAGAAATTTAAAAAAATAAAATAAAAAAAAAACTATTTAAATTATTTGAGTTTTTTTTTTTTTAAAAAAAAACAACTATATATTTGATTTTTTAACATTTTTTAAATATCCTGGAACTGGCCTAGGGAGAACCCAGGAAACTATCTATTTCTATTTTATTTAGAAAACATCAAGAAATGGAGGCCTCCAGAAATTTTTTAAAAAAAAAAAAAAAAACATTGTTTTTTTGATTTATTTATTTATTTATTTATTTATTTTAATATCCTGGAACTGGCCCAGGGAGAACCCGGGAAACTATTATTCAGGGCCTTGGGCGACACATAGGCCCAATTCTTCCCTCTTACCCCCCCCCCCCCCACACCCCCCAAAAGAAAAGAAAAGAAAGAACGAAAAACAACAAAGAAGAACTACTGCTGGAAAACAAGAAACAAACATGGCGCAAAGACCCAAACAAAGACGAGCACGTGGATCCATCTGGTCGCTAGGAGCGAATGCGAGAACGCTCCGAGTTCCAGACCAAGCTCGCCGAGTTCTTTCTTGAGGCCGACGTGGATGGATCGGGTCCCGGCCCGAGTGGGCAAAAAACTCCCAGCCTGAACCCGGGAATTTCTGGAAGGCGTAGATGGGTTCCACTGGTTTAGATAAAGTTGGTTGCCTTTCGGGGCATCTGTTTCTCAGAAGGCCACTTATGAATCTGGTGTGGAGCCGATTCCAAAACAAAGGACACACACACACACACACATCGTGAGCTGAATTTTCAAGCCCAGTGAGCTTGACGTGGATTTGGCCGACATTGCATGGCCGACCAGTTTTCTCGAACTGAGGCTGTGTGTCGCGCGATGAGTTCCAGGTCATTCTGAAGGATAAGAACGCCGCGTCAAGAGCTCAGTTGATGCATCGGCCCCAAGAGAAACGAATCAACGGCCCACTGGGGTAGAAGAAACCGACGAACATGGGCCAGCTTTGGTCATTTGGTGATGAAAGCCTAGGGTTCTCCGAGACTACATGGTGGATGGGCGTGGGGTGCGGTGGGGCAAAATGATGACAGTCAAAAGTTCTGACTTCCTGGCCTGTTTTGACCCAGTATTCGCGCCACTCCGCTCGTGAGCGAACAACATAGCCCTGGCAACTTCATAGAGTCAGCACGGACTTCCCTTTTTTTCCGCGCCAATGCATGTCAACGAAAGATCATCTCGCATGAAGGCCAACGTACAGTATTTCTAGAGCAAATCCCATTGTGCATTGAAAACTCAAGGGAACCACAACTGAACAGCCTGGGCCGCTGACGCTCTAGAATGCAGTGGAGAATCAATCTCGCTCCGCAAGCAGGGCAAACTGGCACACATGTTTTTTTCTTTTTTGATGCGCTTCTCTAGCGATGAAACTTGAATCTTCCTCCAATGGGATTGGCAAACATGCTGTACGTCGGCCTTCATGCTTGCATCTTTCGTTGAAGTCCGGGCAGACTCCATGAAGTTGGGAGGGCTATGTGGTCTCTCACAAGCTGAATGTGCCGCAAGCGGGTCAAAACACGGAGACGTATGCTTTGTTTTGTTGGGGGATTCTTTCTTCCTACCTGGGTGTTTGCCAAAATTCGTAAGTCGTTGGAAACTGTTCGGTTGGGATCCAGTGGGTTGAAACTCAGTTGGCTCTGCACTCACCTGAGCATCCACGTGGGCACACTCGAAACCCACACTGCCAGTGGAAGCTTGGGCTTGGGCACCGAAATCCAATATTGTTGGGGATGGCCTTAGTTAGCTTACATTGTTCGGCATGGCCCCCTTTTCTAAGAGTGCTCAGCCCACGTACAGGGGGCTTTGCTCTTTAACCGACTCATTGAGGTTTCACAACCAAGCACCTTACATCTTGGTCTTGCTTCGGATTGGAGCTTTCAGAATTCAAATCCGAATGGGAAACCCGGGCTTGGACCGCTCCCTTCTACATCTGGGGTCTCTTCCAAACTTAATCTATGTTTTAGGGTCGGGTAGACTACAAATGAAGATCCGAAGATACTATTTTTGGTGTAGCCCATTGGGCCAAGAAATCGGAAGGT